TAAATTGTCTGGTCATTAAATTTCGAGAAAAGGAAAACATTGAAAATTGAATTAATCAAACTTGGTGCATTCAAATCTATTATTTTTTTTCTGGAATAAAACCATGAAAACATAGAGGAGTTTTTTTCTTAATTTTGAATTGCATTTCTGTAGAAGAAACAATTTCACTTCAGAAAAAAATTTGTAGAAACATTTTCTAATGATTTTAAACTTGAAAGCATTTTAGTTTTTACTCAAATTGTTAAGTCTAATTTGACTTTTTTTTTTTTTTTTTACAATTTTGAAATTTTTGTTTGTTTGAAACTGATTATTTTTAAATAATTTAATTCTTATAACAAAATGCATGAAAATAATTTCAATATTTTAATGGAATTTTTTGTGGCAGCATCATATTTCTTTATTTCAAATATAGTAATATCTTGCTTAGTTAACATGTGAATTAGCTAATTTTCTTTGTGAAACTCAACATCTTAATTCAACAATTAATTGTATACTCTAAGAAACTGGATAAAGTATATTGACATTTTATTCAGAATGCTAATATTTCAAAGAATTGATTATCTTAACTAAAGTGAAGAAAAAACAAATATTACAGGATTATAATAATGTTCAATGTGAAATTCTTAGAAGGCTTCAATATGCATGATTGATATAGCATTGAGGAGGATAGTAAACAGGAAAGGACTCTGAATTTTGTTAGCTAAATCTTGAACAAGTTAATCTTAGCTGCACAGATCATTAATTTTTGCTTATGTAAAAACAAATATCCTTTTACTGCATTTGCACACAATCCATCACGACTCACTTTGATCTCAATTTACCACAATCTCAATTGTAACAGTCACCAGTCGAAAGTCAAGCTGTTCGCACAGGCAATTTGCTTGAGAAACCCAGCTATTGCATGAGATGATAAAACTGACATAACTAAGTCACGAATACCAACAAAAAAAAATGGAAGTTTTGGTTAGAAATAAATACTTTTTCTTGCTATATATCTAATAATAGCCAGATCTCATCGGCTCTCCAAATATCTCTTATTTCTCTGTTGATAGCCTGATGTGTTCCACAGCCATCTTGTTTCTTCTTGCATGCATGGGATTGTGGGAACTCTCTTATGACTGGATCTAGTTTCAAAAACTCTGGTCAATCACGATTGAATCTCATTTCAGTCAAGATTGAAACGGTCAAGAGAGGTCACACCACGACACTGTTGCCGAATGTATCACAATCTAAATTGAAATGCTCAGTGCGAACGAGGTATTAGGGAGTTGAGTATGTACAATAGAAAAAACAGTTTACCAATCTATTTAGATCAAAGGTTAGCAAAATGAGAAATAGAAAATTGGGAAATTACCAATGGACAGTAAAAAGTTATAAACTTATTGAAAAATTAGGGAAATGAAAGCCAGAAAGGAAAATTAAAGGAATAAGTGACATTTTTTATTTTACAGAATGGACAGATAGTTCTTAAAATGTTTTATTCAACTGCCATTTTGTTTTATAAGCTTATAATAATAAATTTTGATTTTTCATGGAACACAAAATATTTAACTTAAGATTCTGAATTCTTCTGGTAACATACTGATGAATAATCTCATCAATACACACTGTAAAATATACGACTTACTTCTGACTCGAAACCAAAACAGTGCTTATTTCAAAATACTTTCACTAACGTTTTTGAACTTAGTTCTTCAGGTGAATAAAAGAAAACGGGCAGAATCAATGTTATTCAAATGTATCTGTTTCATACGAATTCTGAAATGCAGTGTTCTGAGGAAACCCGTGCACTGATCATCTTAAACTTGTGCATGCTCTGTAGATAGAAGAATCGCTTTTGGCTTCTCGTGTATCATAAATAAGAGTTTTTTTTATCTGTACTTAGAGAAACTATAAAGAAATCGCCAAGAGAAAACAAGCCTCCTTAATATTTAGATGTCCCACTCTATTCAGAATGCTAAATAATGCAAAAGATACTCCACATCACAACAAATTAGCAGGAGTATACAGAATCCCTATAAAAGATCATAGGTGGGATAAAGACTTAGCATATGTGGGATCCACAAAAAAGATTGTTGGAGGTGAGGATCAAAGAACATAAAGCAGACATCCTACATAAAAAAATACTACAGCATTAGCACAATATGCCACGGACCCTGACATACAAGCATTATTTGAGGAGGCAAAGATAATTTATACCACACAGCAACCACACCATTTGCGCTGGATGGAAGCAATATACAGTAGAACCTCGATTATCCAGACCTCTATTATTTGGATTGTTCAAAATAAACAAAAATTTTACGAATTTGCTGATTTGCACTTGGCGAATTACGATACTGTTTATGTAGTACAGAATGGAATGCATAACTTTTTTTGTTTCAACAACGTCTCACCCAGCACAGTGGTCGTAAACTCTTAAATATATTTTGCATCATAATAAAAATATAACTCGACACATGTATTTATAAATAATTTATATTCAAATTACATCATTTTTATGACCAAGGGCGGCGTATGGGCAACGTGGGCCACCACCTATGCCTCGCGGTCCGAATGGCCTCGCGCGTCGAAGGTTTATGCATTACTTAAAAGCTGCAAATGCCACGAAAAAGTTTTACTCGTCATAAAATGATAAATAGTTTGTCAAATTTTTATTCATAAAATTGCAGTTTCAACTGCTTTTTATTTTATAAAATCTGTCTTCTTGCACCACCAGAGGGCATTTTAAACAATAGGTAGTCTGTTAGTGGAGGTCAGTAGTAGTCCAAATTCAATACGAACATTTGTTTCTTGAAAATTTGATCACGATTTAAATACAGTATTTACTTTTAATATTACCGATATGTCATCGAAAAGAAAACGTGTTGTATTATCATTAAAAGACAAATTAAAGTATTTGTTTCGATTATTCGAATTTTTCCTTATCCGGATTACCTTTATCCCCAATTAGTCCAGATAATCGAGGTTCTACTGTATATCTATAAAACAGCAAGAGAAGATAAGTGTATAAACAATAAGGATGAACTATCCTTATTGATAGCATGGCAAACTCTTATTTATGATACATGAGAAGCCAAAAGCAATCCTTCTATCTACAGAGCATGCGCAAGTTTAAGACGATCAGTGCACGGGTTTCCTTAGAACACTGCATTTCAGAATTTGTATGAAACAGATACGTTTGAATAACAGCAATTCTGCCAGTTTTGTTTTATTCACCTGAAGAAGAACTAAGTTCGAAAACATTAGTGAAAGTATTTTGAAATAAGCACTGTTTTGGTTTCAAGTCAGAAGTAAGTCGTAACATACTGATGTTATCTTTCCATTAAATTATATACTTTTTTGATAAGAAATTGCTTCTATTCAAACATTTTACACAAGTCTATGAGGCTAATGTAGTTTTATTTATTAGCTATAAATATAGAAGTATTTAAATTACATCTATACACTATTAGAATTTTATTATTTTTGTTTTTCATTTCAGTTATCTATAATTTTTAATATAATTTATCTTGCTAAATATTAGTTTAAGTTTTAAATAATTTAAATTATTTTACTCTTTATTCAGATATTTTCATTAATTTAATTTTTCTCCATAATTGGGCTGCATTTAGTTTAATATAATAGAAAGTGTATGTATCTGATTCCATTTTTCTGTTTTTAATTTTTAGTGCATTTGATCGAACAGACAAAATGAATTGTAGAAACATTTTCAATATCATCATATAGTTGGTTTTTGATAGGTAAAAAAAGTAAAAACACTTATTCAAAAACTTGTTAAATAAATTGTTTTTATTCTCATTATTTGTTTTCATAGTTTAAAATGCATTATTGTAAATACTTATGATCAGAAATATAGAATTATTTAAATATTTTAGCATTAAATTAAATGAAACTTTATTCGTAAATTACATTATTTTCAGGATTATATATATTTAATTTGTCTGGTAAATTTCTAAGTAAAATTGAAATATATTAGAATTATTATCATATATATACAGTGTAGCCATTAGAAAAGTAAATATGGTAATTAACTAAAGAATCATTTATGTTCATTGTGTAAATAATAAATATACCAATATAAATTACAGTAAGATTATTTATATAATCTACGAAATATAAATAGTCTCTGCAATTATACAGAAGATTGTTAAAGATAAACCAAACAATTTATTTGTTAAGTTAAATGCTCTGCACATTTATCCATGAAATTCCTATTATATATCAACAAATGTTTATATGAGGTCTTAGTGAAAGATGGATATTCTCTGTATATATTCACTTCATATTTATAGATGAAGACAGTTTCTTCTAAGAATATATTTTCAGTGAAAACTTACTAAACTATACATTGTGTGAGAAATCACTATTTGTACAAATACACTGATTATCAGTCACAAAAGACTCTGTGAATTATTAATTTTGTGGTGAAGGATAGCATACTAATGAAAAGACATGCATTCAGAATGAACTCAGCTTCAGAAGACATGCACAAATATAACAGATCATTTATGGGAATGTTTAATATTGATTCTGTTCAGGGAAATGCATTGGAAATACATTTTTACCTATAAACTGAACTCTTACTAATACATTTATGATAGCAGATTTCCCATGATGAATTACTCAAGAATTGTGCTTTTATTCACAAACCATGACATCACCAGTATGGCTCTTAACTATTATTTATCAAGAAGTTATATAACAAATCTACATAAAAGTGAAAAATAGGGCTTATATAACAAGAAGTTACAAATGGAAGACATTTCCCAATTGAAGAATGGAAAATTTATTTTCATTTTGTACCAATAGTACAAAAAAACAGAACAAACATGAATGAAGTTGAAACACACATGACTGTCAGAACAGAATGGCTAAAAGCAGAAAACGGATGTACAGATGTACTGTAATACAAACACCTCACCATACATAAACAAGACAACAAAGGTTATGTTTTCCTCTGCAGTTGTCTTCTAATTGTATCTGACCCTTGTGTTTAGGAGGAATAGATGACCACCTGTGTCATCGTTGGGGGTCATCCAAGTACTCTCTTCATATTGTTGGCCATCTCTACTGGTTTCTATCGGAGAATATGGTGCAAGATTTCTGTGCATTTGCTGGTGCATCATTCCTGTCCTGAATGCGGCCGTTGGCCTGGTGAAATGAAGTTGGTATGCAATGACTTATAAAATTTATAATAAAGAAATGTATTGAAAAAGCAAAATATATTCTATAATCTGAGCTAATTAGTGATTGAGTAAGTACTTAAAAGGAGGAAATAACATTATTATATCTAATATAGTTTAAGATATAGATGATTGTCTGTTTTGAGCTAATAAAATGAGTAATTTAAGTTTAAAGTTTTAAATATTTTATTTTAATGTAGCAGTTTATTGATAAAAATGATTTAATAATTTTATTTTCATTAGTTAAATGTAATTTATTATTGTGATGTTTTAAAATGAAATTTTTAATTTAACTAATATATTTTTAGCTTTAATTCTTTGCTTTATGAATAGATATATAAATAATTGAAAATGCTTATTATTTATAAATAAATCTGATTTTGATATATAATGAGATAATTTTGAATTAGATTAATATACAAGTATTGAATTTAATTTGAGAAGTCATAGATTTTCTGGATTTGAACTAGATGATCAATATTACTTTCATAATGCTGAATGTTATCAGTCAAGATGTGTAATTGTTAAATGAAAAAAATTTTGATGCATGTTTATCAAAACTTGAAATAAAAAATTAATCTTAATTCAAAATGATTTCATATTTACAGTAAAAAATTGTATATTTTTTTGTTTAAACTAAAAATAATTTTAAAGTTTAGTAGTTGCAGATAAAGGTAATAAAAAAATTGTGATGTGTTCAAAATATTTTTATTTATTATCTGACTTCAGATTGAAGTTGAGTGAATATTCTTTATTTAATAAAAGATCAACTGCATGTAGTAAAATTTTATAAATTTGATTAAATATAATGGTACTTAATGCTTTTATTCATCCAAAATCATGATAACAATTTTATCAAAATTATCCTTGAAGTCTTTGTTTTTATTGAATAATATATATATATAAAATTAATTTTTTGTTATATTTCTAAAAGTGTAGTAATATCATAAAATATTATTTTGAACAATACACGAATTTTTTTAAAAGTAATTCTATAAATTATTCATTAAATTTTATTTTGCTTTTTTATTTGAGAAATTTTAGAAGATATGTGATATCCATAAAGCAAGGATTATTGTTAAATTGAAATTCCAATTTTATAGTTTTTTTTTTAATTTTTTAAAAATATATGTACTGTATATATATCATATTAGCTACTTTTTCTTAAAAGTAGAAATCATGGATAATGCAAGTTAAAAATATTTTTGTTTTGCTCTTTCTGCCTTGTGGGCACAAAGAAGGCAACTCAAATGTCAAAAAAACTTATAAAGAATATTGTACGTTAATTAATAGTTAATAAATTATTATATTTTGTTATTTCAAATCAGTTTAATTAATTTGGGGAATAAATTACTTTATATAATAATAAAATAATAATAATGGGATTATATAAAGTGTATTAAATAATAGAATTTAAAATTTATTTTTATTTTCTTCTAGATATAAATGTAAATTTTGTAAATGTTTTTGTCTTTTCATATTTTAATAATTTATTGTATTGATCAAGCACAGTATAATTTGTTGATAAAATAGGACATGAGGTTTAAGCTAAAATTGTTTTTGAAGATTGATATTCAAGAGATCTGAAAATAAGATTTATCATTAATTTATCTGAAAATGTATTACTTAAACTAAAGTTGAAGGATAGTTCAAATTGCATATCTTCGAATGTTGAAATTGAGTAGTGAGCAACCATAATTGATTTTCAATCATTGAGTGTATTTAATTCTTCACTGTAAAATGTGAAGTATTTATAGGATTACAAACTTTTTGAGGATTTTTAGTTTATGAAGTATTAACTTTATAATGTCCTATCAAATTTAGAAAATGATTGTGTTAGTTGCTTGCATATTTGTATACCTAGAAAAAAAAAATAATAATAATAATTTCTCTAAGTTTTGTTGTTAAAATAGCATTTAAAAAATTCATTTTAANGTGTATATATATATATATATATAACAAAACAGGACAATTTGTAAGTTTTAAACTTCCATTTTATACATTTTGTTTTAAAATTTTTTGAAATATTTTACTTTTCTAAACTTATTTTAATCTTCTTATTAATTTTATTCTATAATGAATTTTGATTTTTGTTGTTATTGGGTTACAGAAATAAAATCTTGCTTATTTAATCATTTTTAATAATCTTTTCTTATAACTACTGTATTTTCGCAGAATGACCAGCAAGCTTGTTTATCTGGGGAAAACCATGTAATCAAATATTTCTGTATGGAAAAACTGGCATGCAAGTTTATCCTTGGGAATGCCAGTTTTTTAAGTGGGGTTATACATCCCTCTCTAGAGTGCATTAAAAAAACGAATGAGTTATGTCTTGTAAAAACGAATGCATTTTTATTCTAAAACTAATAATACTAATACTACTAATGTCAACAGATTGTTAATTATTTTGTCTTGTAAATGAAAATGAAATTAAATCACACTTACTAAACCTTTATTATCCGGTACTTGTAAATTATTCGTAAAAACAAACGTTTTCGGCCTCAGTTGAGGCCTGCTTCAGGTTAAAATACTTGGATTCCGTTTTGAAAATGAAATTACAATTTTATTATTTCATTGTACTCTTTCTTTATTGTATGTTTTCTTTAATGTTTAATTAAATCTAATTTTGTTAGATCTGATTAATTTTATATTTTAGTCACTATTTAACTGGCATGCTGGCCATTCCATGAAAATGGTGTGTGTATATATATATATGTATATATATATATATACATACATACATACATACACAGTGGTATCATGTACAATACTTGAATGCTAAATTTGACAAAAATTTACTTTGGGAGTTTGAACTGCAAACTCAATGAAGCAATGCACTCAAAGCATAAATGCAATCTGTGTGCCCAATTCATCTTTTGCTCTTGAATTATGTTTATATGTTTTCAGTGCTTTTTATTGTGGGTTTATGTGTTTGGTTATATATATTGTATGTTATTTGTCAATTGTTAACAATTCCTTCATGCAAGTTTTCTTTGTCAACAGCTGTTGAGTACTCTATATGTTTTGTATCCTTTAGTTCAAAATTTCCTGAACAGAACTTTCTAAATCATATTTGACACATTCAAAATTAAGAGCATCTTCCCCATACACATTATGAACTTTTTTTTACTGTTTGTACAGCATTATCTCCTTTCCGAAACTCCTAAAGTGTAAACATCTGACATGCTTTTTATCTGGAGACATTTTGACTTGATTTTATTCAAACAAAATATGAAGTAAAGAATTTAAATTAAGCTTCTAATTAAAGAATACAATCTCACATCAGCAATAATGTGTTAAATTTCATAACTGTTATAATTAAATCACACATCTATGTTAAGTAATAACAGCTATTTAAAATATACAGAAGCTTTCTGTTCAACCCAATATATACTTTACTTATTAACCATGGTATTTGAGAAGTGTATGGAAGCAACAAAGTCTGAGGGGAAGATTGTAATATCAGCTATTGAGATGATAAAGGAAAACGCATGAAAGCAGTACATGTCTGGCAGATCTGGCAGCTCTGTTTAATATGCTGAAGTCCATGTGCATGACTAGTAAATGCAATTTTCATTTTGTTATACAATATTTACATACAGAATTTTATTTTTTCTTGTTTTAGTTTATTATTATTGTGGCATTTAACTGTGTTATTTTTCCTTAAATTAAGTTTACTTTTAAAATTACTTTTACCTCTATCTCATATTTGCTATTTATTGCTGCTTTATCTCGTATTTGCTATTTAAGTTTATTGAAACAGGTTTTTAGGATCTGGGAGTGGATTAATTCACTTCACATTATTTTTAATGGGAAAATGATTTGGACTTCAAACAGTTCAGAATTCAAAATGGCATCACTGAATTAAACTTGAAGTACAAGACACCACTGAAATTTTGAGCTTATTTATCTGCTCTGCTTAATGTTATCAGTAAATATGAATCTCAAAGTGAATACAATAAGTGGATTCTACTGTATTTACATATAATGTTATAACAACAATAATATATATTATATATTTGCATCAGAATTTTTTATTTTTGGTAATTGTTTTAAAATATTGTGAACCTTATGCCAAAGTAAGGTAAATTAACCAAAAGCATTTTTTTTGATTATTTTGAAATAAATGATATTGCATATTTTTAATAGTTATAATAATTGTAATTAATTATTGGAGAGAGAGAGATCCTGAAATATATTTTCATTAACTTTTTGTAAAACTATTTTATGTAATGCAAATTATAACCTCTTTGGTTTGGATAAAAGTTGATATAAATTCAAGAAATTACACTTTTTATTTGCATGCTACATTTAATACAATGCTTCCTCCTGGATTCATATATTACTGTACAGTCGACCCCCCCCTATAAGATCATAGATACGTTCCTTTCTTTAGGAATCCGATTTCTTACGAGTCCTTCCAATCACAGCCCGACACGTGTNAAAATTTGTAGAAACATTTTCTAATGATTTTAAACTTGAAAGCATTTTAGTTTTTACTCAAATTGTTAAGTCTAATTTGACTTTTTTTTTTTTTTTTACAATTTTGAAATTTTTGTTTGTTTGAAACTGATTATTTTTAAATAATTTAATTCTTATAACAAAATGCATGAAAATAATTTCAATATTTTAATGGAATTTTTTGTGGCAGCATCATATTTCTTTATTTCAAATATAGTAATATCTTGCTTAGTTAACATGTGAATTAGCTAATTTTCTTTGTGAAACTCAACATCTTAATTCAACAATTAATTGTATACTCTAAGAAACTGGATAAAGTATATTGACATTTTATTCAGAATGCTAATATTTCAAAGAATTGATTATCTTAACTAAAGTGAAGAAAAAACAAATATTACAGGATTATAATAATGTTCAATGTGAAATTCTTAGAAGGCTTCAATATGCATGATTGATATAGCATTGAGGAGGATAGTAAACAGGAAAGGACTCTGAATTTTGTTAGCTAAATCTTGAACAAGTTAATCTTAGCTGCACAGATCATTAATTTTTGCTTATGTAAAAACAAATATCCTTTTACTGCATTTGCACACAATCCATCACGACTCACTTTGATCTCAATTTACCACAATCTCAATTGTAACAGTCACCAGTCGAAAGTCAAGCTGTTCGCACAGGCAATTTGCTTGAGAAACCCAGCTATTGCATGAGATGATAAAACTGACATAACTAAGTCACGAATACCAACAAAAAAAAATGGAAGTTTTGGTTAGAAATAAATACTTTTTCTTGCTATATATCTAATAATAGCCAGATCTCATCGGCTCTCCAAATATCTCTTATTTCTCTGTTGATAGCCTGATGTGTTCCACAGCCATCTTGTTTCTTCTTGCATGCATGGGATTGTGGGAACTCTCTTATGACTGGATCTAGTTTCAAAAACTCTGGTCAATCACGATTGAATCTCATTTCAGTCAAGATTGAAACGGTCAAGAGAGGTCACACCACGACACTGTTGCCGAATGTATCACAATCTAAATTGAAATGCTCAGTGCGAACGAGGTATTAGGGAGTTGAGTATGTACAATAGAAAAAACAGTTTACCAATCTATTTAGATCAAAGGTTAGCAAAATGAGAAATAGAAAATTGGGAAATTACCAATGGACAGTAAAAAGTTATAAACTTATTGAAAAATTAGGGAAATGAAAGCCAGAAAGGAAAATTAAAGGAATAAGTGACATTTTTTATTTTACAGAATGGACAGATAGTTCTTAAAATGTTTTATTCAACTGCCATTTTGTTTTATAAGCTTATAATAATAAATTTTGATTTTTCATGGAACACAAAATATTTAACTTAAGATTCTGAATTCTTCTGGTAACATACTGATGAATAATCTCATCAATACACACTGTAAAATATACGACTTACTTCTGACTCGAAACCAAAACAGTGCTTATTTCAAAATACTTTCACTAACGTTTTTGAACTTAGTTCTTCAGGTGAATAAAAGAAAACGGGCAGAATCAATGTTATTCAAATGTATCTGTTTCATACGAATTCTGAAATGCAGTGTTCTGAGGAAACCCGTGCACTGATCATCTTAAACTTGTGCATGCTCTGTAGATAGAAGAATCGCTTTTGGCTTCTCGTGTATCATAAATAAGAGTTTTTTTTATCTGTACTTAGAGAAACTATAAAGAAATCGCCAAGAGAAAACAAGCCTCCTTATTATTTAGATGTCCCACTCTATTCAGAATGCTAAATAATGCAAAAGATACTCCACATCACAACAAATTAGCAGGAGTATACAGGATCCCTATAAAAGATCATAGGTGGGATAAAGACTTAGCATATGTGGGATCCACAAAAAAGATTGTTGGAGGTGAGGATCAAAGAACATAAAGCAGACATCCTACATAAAAAAATACTACAGCATTAGCACAATATGCCACGGACCCTGACATACAAGCATTATTTGAGGAGGCAAAGATAATTTATACCACACAGCAACCACACCATTTGCGCTGGATGGAAGCAATATACAGTAGAACCTCGATTATCCAGACCTCTATTATTTGGATTGTTCAAAATAAACAAAAATTTTACGAATTTGCTGATTTGCACTTGGCGAATTACGATACTGTTTATGTAGTACAGAATGGAATGCATAACTTTTTTTGTTTCAACAACGTCTCACCCAGCACAGTGGTCGTAAACTCTTAAATATATTTTGCATCATAATAAAAATATAACTCGACACATGTATTTATAAATAATTTATATTCAAATTACATCATTTTTATGACCAAGGGCGGCGTATGGGCAACGTGGGCCACCACCTATGCCTCGCGGTCCGAATGGCCTCGCGCGTCGAAGGTTTATGCATTACTTAAAAGCTGCAAATGCCACGAAAAAGTTTTACTCGTCATAAAATGATAAATAGTTTGTCAAATTTTTATTCATAAAATTGCAGTTTCAACTGCTTTTTATTTTATAAAATCTGTCTTCTTGCACCACCAGAGGGCATTTTAAACAATAGGTAGTCTGTTAGTGGAGGTCAGTAGTAGTCCAAATTCAATACGAACATTTGTTTCTTGAAAATTTGATCACGATTTAAATACAGTATTTACTTTTAATATTACCGATATGTCATCGAAAAGAAAACGTGTTGTATTATCGTTAAAAGATAAATTAAAGTATTTGTTTCGATTATTCGAATTTTTCCTTATCCGGATTACCTTTATCCCCAATTAGTCCAGATAATCGAGGTTCTACTGTATATCTATAAAACAGCAAGAGAAGATAAGTGTATAAACAATAAGGATGAACTATCCTTATTGATAGCATGGCAAACTCTTATTTATGATACATGAGAAGCCAAAAGCAATCCTATCTACAGAGCATGCGCAAGTTTAAGACGATCAGTGCACGGGTTTCCTTAGAACACTGCATTTCAGAATTTGTATGAAACAGATACGTTTGAATAACAGCAATTCTGCCAGTTTTGTTTTATTCACCTGAAGAAGAACTAAGTTCGAAAACATTAGTGAAAGTATTTTGAAATAAGCACTGTTTTGGTTTCAAGTCAGAAGTAAGTCGTAACATACTGATGTTATCTTTCCATTAAATTATATACTTTTTTGATAAGAAATTGCTTCTATTCAAACATTTTACACAAGTCTATGAGGCTAATGTAGTTTTATTTATTAGCTATAAATATAGAAGTATTTAAATTACATCTATACACTATTAGAATTTTATTATTTTTGTTTTTCATTTCAGTTATCTATAATTTTTAATATAATTTATCTTGCTAAATATTAGTTTAAGTTTTAAATAATTTAAATTATTTTACTCTTTATTCAGATATTTTCATTAATTTAATTTTTCTCCATAATTGGGCTGCATTTAGTTTAATATAATAGAAAGTGTATGTATCTGATTCCATTTTTCTGTTTTTAATTTTTAGTGCATTTGATCGAACAGACAAAATGAATTGTAGAAACATTTTCAATATCATCATATAGTTGGTTTTTGATAGGTAAAAAAAGTAAAAACACTTATTCAAAAACTTGTTAAATAAATTGTTTTTATTCTCATTATTTGTTTTCATAGTTTAAAATGCATTATTGTAAATACTTATGATCAGAAATATAGAATTATTTAAATATTTTAGCATTAAATTAAATGAAACTTTATTCGTAAATTACATTATTTTCAGGATTATATATATTTAATTTGTCTGGTAAATTTCTAAGTAAAATTGAAATATATTAGAATTATTATCATATATATACAGTGTAGCCATTAGAAAAGTAAATATGGTAATTAACTAAAGAATCATTTATGTTCATTGTGTAAATAATAAATATACCAATATAAATTACAGTAAGATTATTTATATAATCTACGAAATATAAATAGTCTCTGCAATTATACAGAAGATTGTTAAAGATAAACCAAACAATTTATTTGTTAAGTTAAATGCTCTGCACATTTATCCATGAAATTCCTATTATATATCAACAAATGTTTATATGAGGTCTTAGTGAAAGATGGATATTCTCTGTATATATTCACTTCATATTTATAGATGAAGACAGTTTCTTCTAAGAATATATTTTCAGTGAAAACTTACTAAACTATACATTGTGTGAGAAATCACTATTTGTACAAATACACTGATTATCAGTCACAAAAGACTCTGTGAATTATTAATTTTGTGGTGAAGGATAGCATACTAATGAAAAGACATGCATTCAGAATGAACTCAGCTTCAGAAGACATGCACAAATATAACAGATCATTTATGGGAATGTTTAATATTGATTCTGTTCAGGGAAATGCATTGGAAATACATTTTTACCTATAAACTGAACTCTTACTAATACATTTATGATAGCAGATTTCCCATGATGAATTACTCAAGAATTGTGCTTTTATTCACAAACCATGACATCACCAGTATGGCTCTTAACTATTATTTATCAAGAAGTTATATAACAAATCTACATAAAAGTGAAAAATAGGGCTTATATAACAAGAAGTTACAAATGGAAGACATTTCCCAATTGAAGAATGGAAAATTTATTTTCATTTTGTACCAATAGTACAAAAAAACAGAACAAACATGAATGAAGTTGAAACACACATGACTGTCAGAACAGAATGGCTAAAAGCAGAAAACGGATGTACAGATGTACTGTAATACAAACACCTCACCATACATAAACAAGACAACAAAGGTTATGTTTTCCTCTGCAGTTGTCTTCTAATTGTATCTGACCCTTGTGTTTAGGAGGAATAGATGACCACCTGTGTCATCGTTGGGGGTCATCCAAGTACTCTCTTCATATTGTTGGCCATCTCTACTGGTTTCTATCGGAGAATATGGTGCAAGATTTCTGTGCATTTGCTGGTGCATCATTCCTGTCCTGAATGCGGCCGTTGGCCTGGTGAAATGAAGTTGGTATGCAATGACTTATAAAATTTATAATAAAGAAATGTATTGAAAAAGCAAAATATATTCTATAATCTGAGCTAATTAGTGATTGAGTAAGTACTTAAAAGGAGGAAATAACATTATTATATCTAATATAGTTTAAGATATAGATGATTGTCTGTTTTGAGCTAATAAAATGAGTAATTTAAGTTTAAAGTTTTAAATATTTTATTTTAATGTAGCAGTTTATTGATAAAAATGATTTAATAATTTTATTTTCATTAGTTAAATGTAATTTATTATTGTGATGTTTTAAAATGAAATTTTTAATTTAACTAATATATTTTTAGCTTTAATTCTTTGCTTTATGAATAGATATATAAATAATTGAAAATGCTTATTATTTATAAATAAATCTGATTTTGATATATAATGAGATAATTTTGAATTAGATTAATATACAAGTATTGAATTTAATTTGAGAAGTCATAGATTTTCTGGATTTGAACTAGATGATCAATATTACTTTCATAATGCTGAATGTTATCAGTCAAGATGTGTAATTGTTAAATGAAAAAAATTTTGATGCATGTTTATCAAAACTTGAAATAAAAAATTAATCTTAATTCAAAATGATTTCATATTTACAGTAAAAAATTGTATATTTTTTTGTTTAAACTAAAAATAATTTTAAAGTTTAGTAGTTGCAGATAAAGGTAATAAAAAAATTGTGATGTGTTCAAAATATTTTTATTTATTATCTGACTTCAGATTGAAGTTGAGTGAATATTCTTTATTTAATAAAAGATCAACTGCATGTAGTAAAATTTTATAAATTTGATTAAATATAATGGTACTTAATGCTTTTATTCATCCAAAATCATGATAACAATTTTATCAAAATTATCCTTGAAGTCTTTGTTTTTATTGAATAATATATATATATAAAATTAATTTTTTGTTATATTTCTAAAAGTGTAGTAATATCATAAAATATTATTTTGAACAATACACGAATTTTTTTAAAAGTAATTCTATAAATTATTCATTAAATTTTATTTTGCTTTTTTATTTGAGAAATTTTAGAAGATATGTGATATCCATAAAGCAAGGATTATTGTTAAATTGAAATTCCAATTTTATAGTTTTTTTTTTAATTTTTTAAAAATATATGTACTGTATATATATCATATTAGCTACTTTTTCTTAAAAGTAGAAATCATGGATAATGCAAGTTAAAAATATTTTTGTTTTGCTCTTTCTGCCTTGTGGGCACAAAGAAGGCAACTCAAATGTCAAAAAAACTTATAAAGAATATTGTACGTTAATTAATAGTTAATAAATTATTATATTTTGTTATTTCAAATCAGTTTAATTAATTTGGGGAATAAATTACTTTATATAATAATAAAATAATAATAATGGGATTATATAAAGTGTATTAAATAATAGAATTTAAAATTTATTTTTATTTTCTTCTAGATATAAATGTAAATTTTGTAAATGTTTTTGTCTTTTCATATTTTAATAATTTATTGTATTGATCAAGCACAGTATAATTTGTTGATAAAATAGGACATGAGGTTTAAGCTAAAATTGTTTTTGAAGATTGATATTCAAGAGATCTGAAAATAAGATTTATCATTAATTTATCTGAAAATGTATTACTTAAACTAAAGTTGAAGGATAGTTCAAATTGCATATCTTCGAATGTTGAAATTGAGTAGTGAGCAACCATAATTGATTTTCAATCATTGAGTGTATTTAATTCTTCACTGTAAAATGTGAAGTATTTATAGGATTACAAACTTTTTGAGGATTTTTAGTTTATGAAGTATTAACTTTATAATGTCCTATCAAATTTAGAAAATGATTGTGTTAGTTGCTTGCATATTTGTATACCTAGAAAAAAAAAATAATAATAATAATTTCTCTAAGTT